GCAGTTTTTATGGACCCACGTTTACTAAAATTAAAACGGAATTTGCTTCAAAATAACTGGTGAAATAAGTGCTCAGAGGAATGTGAAGAATGGATTTGCTTCTAGAAGTACTTTACAGTTTGGCAAAAGCAACATTTGAACAGAATTATTCTTATCAATCTGATATGAAATTCTCAACAACTCCTGAAACTTCACAACCTCTCAGACTCTTGGGTAACCCTTGAACTCAAAGACCTCTTCAGAAGCACCCATTAAAGTCCTTTGAGAAGGGTTTAGGAGTCCATTAAAACTCATGAACCATTCTCAACTCCATACAGTCCTTCAGGTCCTTCCTAGTAGCTTTTTGGTCCGTTTGTCCCTTTAGGGACTCTTAGTCCTGGTGAAAAGTTCAGTCATGTAGTTCCACCGGCTTTTCTCTCCATATTAGGAAAGAAGATTCAGAGCTTTAGTGGAATGTTATCTATATTTCCACTGGAGTAGATAAAACAAAGTCTAACTCAAAGCTTTTATGTGGAACCTTGTTAGCAGCCTCACTTCGACAGCCTCCTCAGCTGGTGTTCCTCCGTTTCATGCTCGCCGATTTGATGGACCCTCCTCTGCTGGACCGCAGTGAGGAGTGGACTTCCCTCAAGTTTTCCCTGAACGTCCTTGTAGAGTAGTAATACAGCAGCGGGTTGACCATGCTGTTCGACGCTGCCAGACACAGGGTCACCACCACCCCTCGCTGCAGGGCCAGCAAGATGTTGCAGTTCCAGCGGTTGCACACAGCGTGGAGGTGCAGCGAGCGGACCAGGTGATAGGGCAGGAAGCAGAGCAGGAAGGTCGCTGTCACCATGCTGACCAAATGCACCGAGCGCCTCCGGTTGCGAGTGCGATTCTTGCTGGCCAGGTTGGTGCCGCTGGGGCTCGAGTCGGCCGTTAGCTGTTGAATGATTTTGCTGTAGCAGATGATGATGGTGAGGAAAGGTATGAGGAAACCAAAAGTCACCGCCACGTAGTTTAACACCAGGATAATCCACCAGGACTTTGGGGTTTCTGGCTCAAAGCAGCGAGTTGCATTGTTCCTGAGAGAGAGACAGATTATTAACTTTGGATTAGCTTGACATATGCTATGGTTTAAGGAAGCACCTTTTAGAAGCACCATAACCTATACCTATTTTTGTTGTTTTAACATTGGCACGAGTAGTGAACACGTTTTCTTTGAGCATGTTGCAGCATGTCAGACTGTTTCCAAATACAATCAAGGGGACAGGAGGAAAGGCATGAATAAAAACCCCACAGCCCAGCCACCACCTTTTTGAACTTTATTTATTCAATCACTCTACGGCAGTGCAGTGATATAGGCGTTAGTGCATATCAATATTTTTTTATATATTTCAGAATTACCAGATAAAGCTAATGTGTTGAAATCCAACTGAACCACCTCACAAATGGTTAGAAAATCATAAACTGGCACAAAGATTTCCAACATAAGTCACCGTCCATTGAACTAGAAATATTCAACTGTTAAGTTAAGAGTCCTGCAGGGAAGCTTAACACTGAATAAATAAAACAACTCTGCTCATTAAAAATAATAAGCATATTGGTGTCGTGATGTTCAATGTTAAACTGCTTAGACACTTAAGCTAGCTTTTTAGAGCTGTGACACCATGTGTGCCGTGGCTGAAAAAAAAAAAAGAAAAAAGCCATAGCTCAGGTGTCTATTTGAGGCTGACTCTAAAAGTAGGGGCTCCATAGACTCACCTGTTAAAATGGCAAGTTTACAGCAGAAATAAACATGTTTACAGTCTCATATTAAAAAAGTGTTTCGGTCTCAGTGGTAGAAACTATGTGTAGAGCAAAGGAAGCTTGTCAATAGAAGATGCTAGGGCACTAACCCAT